CAACCCTGCGCGACTCCTGGCTTTGCCCATACATCTCGAGTGTGCCCTTTGCTTTCAGTCTCTCTTATTTATTATGTTTAATTTTGCTGGGACATGGTTGTAAGTGAGACGGATGGACCCGAATGTGGCTGGCAAACGCCTCTTAATTAAACAGATAAATAAACTTCCTTTGCACACCGATTTTTACTTTTGCTGCAGTCTCCGCTGGGGCCAGGGGGACAGTGCCAGTGGGTGGGGGACCCCCGCTGAGCTGGAAGGTGGGTGCTGGCCACGGCAGCCGTGGCTGGGCCTGGCTTTCCCTCTGCATGGCTGAGGGCTCCGTGGCAAGGGAACAAGAGAAGCCTGGGCGGGGGGCTGCACCCCAGCGGCCCCTCCCCGCAGGCCCAGCAGCGAAGGCCGGTGCGCGTGGGCCCTCTGCTGGACACGTCCAGCGTGGCCTTGCCAGCCAGGGCTGCACTGGACAGCTCACCCCTCGGCTTGCTGCACTCCCCATCCCAGCTCCCTTCTTCCTTGCAGGGGCTCCTCTGCGACTTTCCCGCCCTTCTGGGGGAAATTCGGCATGCCATGCAAAGCAGAAGCAGCACCTGCCCCCAAGATGGGGAAGCCACCACCTTGGGGAACCTGAGGGATTCCCACATTTTAAGACAAGGCGTAGAGCTTCCCGCCCCCAGGCTGCATTCCCCTGTGGGGTCTGCTGAAGGTGCCCCCGGAGCAGCCCTGAGCAGGGGCTTTTCCCGACTCTAACCCTGTTCCCTTGGCTGAAGAATTGGGACATTAATTCCCTTGGGAAAGTGTTCAGTTGGTGATGCAGGATTCTGACTGGTTCACATTAAAAAGAGAGAGTGAGAAAGAGAGGTTTCTTGGGTCACCCTACACCCCATCACACACACCCCACCCCTGAGCCACGCTCACCCCAGCCCACCCCACTGTGGAGATTCAGTTCTGCCGCTCAGCTGCCTTCCTCCCCCAGGGCGCGAGGCCAAGCCTGTGCCAAGTGCCCCGGGGCTGGGGCAGGAAGGTCTGGCTCTGCGGAAAGCACAGTGTGTTTGTAGATCACGGCTCAGCTTGGCGCACTGAGCCCAGCTGCAACCGGAGACGGTGAGCTCACCTCTCGTCCTGGGACACCTCTGCCAAGCTCCACACTGCTCTCCCCGCGTGGCGAAGCCTGAGGACAGTCCGTCTGGGCACTCAGAAGGGGAAAGAGGGGCAGGAGGATGAATAACTCAGCCCCACCCCCTCCCCTAAAGGAGATGGAGAACTTCTTCTTTCCTGCTGCGATATGCCAACTCGCAGCCTTGGCAGTTTCCAGGGGTGGGGGGCAGTTGTCATAGGAAACACTCACCCAAATCATTTGGCCACATAGCTCACTTGACCCCCCTTTTATGAAAAACACAGGCCATCTCGGGGGCCAGTATCCCACTGAACACTTTTTGGCAAATGCTTCCCGAGGAGAAACCTGCGTACCCACTTCACAGAGGTACACACCAAGGAGACTAGGGCGTCTGGCAAGGTCTCCCTTGCAGACTCTCAGGGAAGTTGGGAAAGGCAGGCCCTGCCCGACTGGAGGGGGAGGCAGTGCCTGCACCCGGCGGGGCCCCCACCAGGGAAGGTGACACAGAATGGGAGCAGGAAGGAGCCCGGAGATCTCCAAAGCCTCGGAACCATCCACCCTTCGGAGGTGCCTCCCTTGCCTGGTATTTATAGCGGTGCCCAGGAGCGCAGAAATAATTACAGCTCCATTCCTGCCTTCCTAACAAGGCCTTCTCAGATTCAGGGCGAATGGGATATTTTTTCCTTGTGTCTTTTTTTAAGTAGTGAATATTAGCACTGGATTGACAGCTCTCCCCAGCTCGCAGCCTCCCTCTGCCCCAGAAGCGAGGGCAGCAGAGCCGTCAGGAGCATGGGCCCCCCACCCGCTGCTCAGGGGTGCCCACCCCGGTCCACAAGGCACCAGGGTCTCAGAAGGGCTGCAAGGGTCTGGGGAACCAGAACTGTGCACCCCACAGTCTAATGTGCCACCCTGGTGCCAAGCACTGGAGGTCGGCAGTGAGGAGGGCGTGGTTCCCGCCAGTGAGGTCTGCACAGCCGGGCCGTGAGACGGACTCAGAAACGTCGCAGCAGAACAGGTTCGTGCCATTGCACACTTGGCCCATCCTCAAGTCACAGGCACAGGGCACGGCAGGAGAGGCAGCGGGCGCACTGCCCCCGTCCTGAGAAACGCCAGATACACATGCTGTTCACATCCTTCTCCTGGAGGCTTTTCATTCTGCTGTGCTGTTCTCAGTCTTCTCTCTGGAGCCTGGGTGTGATCGCTGTCTGAGGGAGACAGGTGTCCAGACACGCTCCAGGCCCGACGCCCTCTGGAGGTGAGGCTCGAGGGCAAGCGGCTGGGCCAAGAGGCCCAGGGATGGGCAAGTGCGGGGCTGCTGGAACTGTCACCGAAGCAGGCATTAGTGACCACCCTGGCTTTCTCTGGGCCACTGACTAAGCTCAGGGGTCCCTCTAGAAACCCTCCACAGCCCCACCTCAGATCTGAGCTCTTACTGTCCTGGGCTGTCGCAGCTCTCAGCACATTAGGCTGCAGGCTTGGTTTACTGTGCTCACTCCAGGGCAGAGAGCTTGATTTCTGCAGCCCCAGCACCCAGTATGGTGTCTGCACACAGTGGGCTCTCGGTACGGAAAAGCAGGAGCATCAGTTCTCAAAGCGTATGCGTCAGACACTGTCTACAGAGCCTCTTCTGGGAGGGCTGAGGCCGGGATCTCACAGTAGACGCTCAGTAACGGCGGGAAATTAATGAGTGAGTGAGTCACAGGCAGGGTGGATGTGGAGCCTAGGCTTAGGGTGAGTGCTACGCGGCCGCCCCAAATTCCTCGGTGTCCTCCGGGGAAGAGACAGCAGGTCAGTGACGACCGACAGATGCTCAGAGAGGACAGGAGAGGGAAGAATTCTGGAAGAAAGCAGCAGAGCAACCCGACTTGGGAGGGAGGCGGCAGCGCTGCTCTGGGCCGCCACGCTGCTGGGGGAGCCCTCTGCAAGGTCTCAGCTTGCAGATGCTACACTTGCCTCGTGCTCCTGCCCCGGATGTGCCAGGCCTTGGCACTGGGCCACCCCACCACTGTCTTAGGACGAGAGACCAAGTTAGTAACCTCTCCCTGCGCCAAGGCAGGGGACGGCCTCGGCAAGGCCACAGCCAACTCCACGGAGCCAGATGAGGGTCCCCATGCTCACTCTGTGCCAGGCCCACCCTGGGGGGATCCCAGAGCAGGATTTCAGAAAGAGGTCGCGGCCTGTTAGCGAGATGGCCGGCTCCCCCACCCCCAGTCTCTCCCCTGACCCTTGTCCGCCTCCCTCCCAGGCCCCACACTGCCTCTCCTTCTGAGAGAAAGATGAACCAGAGGCTGTTTTGTGAGAGGGACGTGGGAAGCCTGAGAGAGGGTTGTCCAAGCTGCACCGACCTACCTGCCTCATTAAGATAGAGTGTCCCCAACTGTGCTTGGAGAGGGGCCATCCTCAGCCCTCTCCCGCCTTGCTGCCTCGCCCTCAATGGACAATCCACTTTCCTGAGATTACACAGCAGGTAAGGGGGGCCGTGTGACTGCCAGGCCAGGGGTCTTCCTACCACCGGGCAGTCCCAGCCCTGCCTCCTTCCAGAGTGGGGCTCACTCTCCTCGGCGAGAGGAGGGGAGTCACAGGTGCCCGTAGGTAGGACAGGTGAGCTAGAATTGGTACTGAGTATCAGGGACCTGCCTCTTTCCTAGAGGAAGTGTGTAAGCGGCGCCTGACGTTGGGCATGTCCCCCTCCTGGCTCTACCTCTAACAGTGGCAACTGGCAGACTCCCTTTCACAGCGGAGCTCACCTGTGGCTTGTACCTGGCAACCTGAGCTTGACCAGGGGGCATGTGGCGAGTGTGAGCCCAGGGCAGGCTGGTGGGGCGTGCGGCTGGTGAAGCTGCAGACTGTGCACACATATCTCAGTGGTGGTACAACTGGGGCTGGCCCACAACCCTGGCTGGGCCCCTGCCAACTGCTGGCTGGGGTTAGGAGGTGGGCACCATGCGCTCCTGCCCGGCCAGCGTGTGCACACCACGGCCGGCGTGTTGGGGTATGGGCAGGGAGGATGCATTGTGGCCACTGCCCCTTGTCCCCTGTCCGGTGTAAGAACCCACAAGACCATGTGCCTGTGGCAGGCCGCTGTGGTGTGTGATGGGGTCTGAGGGCCAGCAGGAGGGCAGGACAGGCTCCTGAGGGCTCCGGCTAGATTTCCAAGCCCTGGGCAGCCAGAGAAGCCTCCCCAGCGCCCAAGCCTCTGCGTAGATGTCTTCATTACATCACCGACATCCCCGCCACCGAGCGGGCCTCCCTTAGGAGAGGCGCTTCTCTCAACGCCAGGCAGGACGAGGCGCCTTCCGGTCGGTCGGCCGCAGAGCTCGCGGAGCCGCTTCTTCTCCCCGCAGCGGCTGGAGGACCGAGCGGGGGCGGCGGGAGAGTCCAGACCCCACAGCGGGGAGCAGCTGCTGGCCGCAAGGAGCAGGCGGGCAGCGCAGGGGCGGTGCGCAGGAGGGAGCGCGGGCCGGCGCTGGCGGGCGAGGGGTTAAGTCGGGATCAGCTGTTGTGCCGTCGCTCCGGATTCTCTTCCCTCGGCGCTGGGCTCTGTTTGATGCTGGAGTACGCCAGGGACTCCCCCTCCCACCGCTACACACGCGCGCACACGCGCACACTCGCACACGCACCACTCTTTGCAGACAGGGCTCCACCGGCTCCAAAGTGACGGACTCCCCCTCGCTCTCCAGCGTTCTCTCGCGCACACGGTCTCTTGCCATCTTCTCGCGCGCGCTCTCTCCAGCCTCCCCGCCCGGGCAGGGGAGCTCGGGCAGAGGCACGCCGCTTTCCCTCCCATGCCTCCCTCTTAAGAGCGCCACGAGGGGGAGGGGAGGCCCGGAGGAGGAAGAGGAGGAGGAGGAGAGAGACCGGGAGGGCGCCCGGGAGGCAGGGCGCGCGCGCACACACCAAGGGACGCAGCGAGCGCAGAGCCGCCGCGGGCCGCGGGGCGCCCCCCTGCCGCCCCATGCTGTGCTCCATGGCGAACTCGGGCTGCCTCCTGCTGTCCAACTCTGGCAGCATGCTCCCGCACTCCGTGCCCTGCCCGCCCGCCTTCCTCTACCTCCAACAGGTAAGCGCCCCCGGCCCGCGCACGTGCGCCTAGTGCCGCCGCCCACGCCCCGCGCTCGGCCGCCCTGGCGCTGCCGGTGGCCCCGCTGGGCGCCGAAGTCATGGCGCCTGGGCTAGGGTGGGGGGACTGTGCTCCTGCGTATCGGGTGAGCTCGGGGGCGCCGGGCACGCGCGGCGCCGGCGGGGGGGCCGGAGTTTGGGGCGTCTCTCGCAACTTTTCCGAAGGCGCGGGAGGGGGCGGCGGGCGGAGTCTCGGGGGAAGCCCGAGGGGAGGGGGCAAGGGTTCTCGGCACCCGGGTCACTTTAGGGAACTTCGCGCCGGGCCGCTGGGGACTCAGGGATGGGGAGTCTGTCCCCCTCCCCGGCCGCGTCGGGAAAGCCGGGGGGCCGCGCGGAGGCGGAGACTGGGGTGCTGAGCTCTGCTGCAGCGCAGACTGCGCGTGGGGCCTGGGGGAAGGCGGGCCACCCGCCTGGCGAGGGAGGCCCGGGAGCTCCGGCGAGAGGGGGCTGGGGCCAGACTTTTGCGATCTGTGGGGCTGCGCAGGAAGCTCGGGCTGGCGAGTGGGGGGGGCAGGAAACCAAGCGATTCCAAGCCCCTGATCCCCAGGGTGCCCCATAGCGAGGTGCGCACAGAGCAGCAGCCTCCTGCCTGCCTGTCGGCGGGGCGCGGGGGAGGGGAGCGGGGGTCCTGCGCTCCCACCCAATGCGGAATCAGTGCGGTCCCAGGCCTGCATTGGAGACGGAGGGGGCACTCTGTCGCCTCCCCCAGGCCCCTTGGCTTCTCCGGGCTGCGGTTCCGGCGCTGGCGTGGCCCAGACCAGCCCGGGCTGCAGTACTCTGGCTTCACCCACCCTGGCCTGCCTCCCCTCCCAGCGCCCTGGCGGCGCCTTCTTTTTCAGTTCACACCCTCAGTCTCTGCTTGGGCCTGCAGGGGTGGCGGTGGACTGCTGGGGGCGCCTGGGGGGACTGTGAGAGCTTCAGACTGCTGCGTCCTGGGGCCTGCCTGACCCAGCGGGAGGGCTCCCCTAGGACTTGGTCTGCATCCTGGATTGGGTGTGGAGATGGCAGAGCGTACAGGGTGCCCACCCTGGGCAGATGGCCAGCCCAGGCCAAAGAGTCTAGTGAAGATGTCCCCCACCCCCGCCTCCGTGAGCACGTTGAAGGAGGAATGGAGGAGGGTGGTGTTTCTTGGAGACGATGTGAGGCTCAGGTGGAGATGGGCCTTTGGGTGGTGCGTTCTTGTCTGCTCGTGCCCCCTGGACTCTCCAGGAAGCCATGGAAGGTGGTTCAGGAGGGGCGATGGGCACAGCAGGCCGAGATGGGGCCCTCAGAGCTGCCCCGGGGCAGCTGGCCCCTGGGCTGCTGGGCACTCGGGTCGGCCCCTTACGAGGCCCCGTGCAGTGGGGGTTGCCAAACATATCAGCAACTGCAGAAAGGACAGGGGACCGCGTGATGGTCAGGAGCAGAGGGTGGCTGGTAGTGGCATCATGCAGCCCTTGGCCCTTGGTTGCACCTTCCTGGGACCACCTGTGACATCTGGGACTCTAGGACACGGCTCCATAGCCGCCGGGGGTGGTCCTCAGATCCACAGGCAGGTTGTCCAAGCCCAGGCTGCGACCAGCTCCCAAAATCCCTAGGAGTCTTTGAGTCACAGGCCGTCAGAGTGGGGCTCAGAGGGCAGCTTTCTAGCCCCTCCCAAATTTCCATGAGCACAGGACTCACTTGAGGGTCTCCGGGGTGGGGCCCAAGGATGCACACTCGAAGCGAGCTCTGGGTTCTGCGGGCAGAGCGCGAGGTTTAGAGTAAGAGTCCTGGAGTGGAGACTCACCTGTGACTTATTGGTTGTGTTGTCTTAGGCAAGTCACTGCTCCTCTCTGAACCTTAGTGTCTTCCTCAGATACATAGTCCTCCCAGGCTGCATGTGAGGGTTAAGGTGACGTAGGGCGAGCCTCTGAAAGGTGGCAGACACGCACACTGGCACCGTCCGATGAAGTCAGGCCAGTGCTCAGAGTTGGGGTGACTCCACCCAGCACGACCCACGGGGAAGACACCCTGGTTTTCCCAGGGCTAGGTGAATGCATCCCTGACGGGTGGCATCCGTAGTGCTTTGTAGGGACAGTGGGAAGGTAAAAAGACTTTGAACCAGCCGTGCCCGTCCCGGTTGTCTCTGGGAAAGCCGGCATATGCCCTTTGCACTGGGCTTTGAAGCATCCAGTTTCCTTCTCTTGTCCGCAGCCGTTCTGCAGGGGTGGCCAGCCAGGTGTCCCCATGGGCCATGGAAAGGTCTAGAATGCAGTCATTTCCTGGCTATTTGTGTGCGCATGTTTTTATGGGAGCACACATAGCTCTGGTGGTCCAGGGCCATTATGAAACAAATAATGACATTTAGTTTGGGGCCCAGTTGTCCCAAACCACCTTTGGAGTGAGATGGAGCCTGTGGCATCCCCTGGGAGTAGAGGCTATGGGGGGGGGGCAGTGCACCCCGCCAGGCCTCCAGAAATGAGAGCCTGCCCCTCCCGCAGCCTCCCAGGTGGGGCCACAGGTCCTCTGCACGAGCCGGGGCCGTATGTAGGCTGTGTATTCGATCTCAGCGGCGCATTTGATAACAAGAGCAGGAGCAGAAGACGTGAAGTCAAGCAAGACAAGAGACGCATTAGGATGCAGCATTTAGACGGGCGAGCTTTCTAAACCTATGGTCTTTCGAACTTGGAGTTAAAAAATAAAACCTCAGCCAGCAGAATTCTGTTCTCCCTATTAAAGCATTAACCTTTTCTTGCTGCCATGAGCTGGACCCCGGGTGGGTGGGGGATGGGGCCGTGTCCCTTCTATAATTAATTAGAGGTGCTTGTGGTCAAATGTCCCTATCTCAGCCCCGCTCCCAGCAGCAGTGATGGGATTTCTCAGAGTTCTAACCATCCATGAGACGACTTCACGTCACCCAACCCCAGGCAGGGTCCAGTGGTGGTTTGGGCTCTGGCGTTTGTTAAGAGCCCAAGAGCAGCGTTCCTGGGCCCGCCTCTCTCCTCGCCTGGCTTCGGCCGTCCCGCCTGCCCAGGCCACCCCTGGGAGCCCCACTCAGGGGCCAGCCTGGCTCCCTACAGGGTGGCTCAGGGCATAGCTTCCCCACCTCTGGCCTTTTAGGGGTCCTGAAGGTGTTGTCCCTGGTGCATGGTGGCCAACGAGGGGTGGGGCTGATACTGGCCACCTCTCTGGGCGGGAAAAACCTCATCTGAAGATCCAAGCCCGTCGGAACTCCCTGGGAGGCCCCAGCATGGGATCCAGTAGGGGCAAGTTTTAGAGAATAGGAGGGAAAAACCCCAAGCTCACAAAATGGGATTTTGCCACAGTAGTTTCTTTATTATTAAACTGCAGTGTCTTATAAAAGAGAACCTCATCACTCCAGCCGTTGCGAAGGTAAACCGCTGTGCAGCGGAGACACGCCAGTGCCTTAAGTGCCACGGAAGGCGCTCTCGGGGGAGGGGCTGGGAGCCCCAACCCTGGAGAGTCAGACCCGGGGCCTTGCGGGGTGGGGGGACCATGAGTTCTGTGGATCCTACTGTCTTCATGCGCGTAATCACGGTGAAATCAGAGAGTCTCCACTGCCGTGGTAAACATTGCCAATCACCGGAAGTTTCCGTGGAGGATGTGGCGTGTTCACGCAGCTCCACGGTGCCGGGCAGATGGCTGCTTGGTGTTGGCGATGGCAGAGCTGGTTCCCTCGGGGTGCGGAGCCAGAGGCTACGCGGAGGGGCACAGGAATTCGGGGTCTGTGCTGGGATTCATTAGGAAGCACTGCTCTTACTAACAGTCATGCTCTCTTTGCTCTGAGGTGGCGAGGCTGCTAATCACGGGAATTTTTAATAAGGATTAATTACCGTAGCAGACATAGCACTGCCTCTTGCCCCTGCGTGCACTCCTGGCGTCTGGTCTTTGTTCCCTGGGCTGTTGGTGTCACCCTTAGACTTGCTGTGATTCCGGGAACCCTGTCTGAGACACGTTCGCTCGCGGGCCGGTACGGGTGCTGGCGAGTAGCCCACGGCCAGGAGGGCAGATAAGGGCGCAGAATGGCCACTGGTCCCCCCGCGTCTCCCAGAATCTGTCACTGGCCATGTCTGGTCTGCTGGCCAGAGCCACATCCCAAAAACTGTGCTTTGACCTGGAGAATTTAACCAGACAAGTTATTGGCCAGGTGGCTCTGAGCCCTCACCCTAGGAATCGTTTGGGACAAAGGATACTACGTAGTCTGAGCCCCGTGCCTGGAGATGTCCTTCTTTGCGCGTGAAACCGCTTTACCCTGATGCTATCCGGGTGCTGAAGTAACTCAGTGGTATCTGCAGGCTCTTCCCCAGTTTTTGTTCCAGAATCTGCTGAGAGCTAACACTGTGCATGTACATGCACATTTTACAGTTGAGGAAACTGAGGCACGGAGAGCTCAGTCAACACGCTAACTCGTGAAGCCGCAGCAGAGTGGAACCCCCAGTCCCAGCAGCTGGGCCGCACGATTGGGCGCGAGTCCGTGTCCGCTCCCATTAGCTGGAGCCCGCTCGTGGCCTGAGCGCTTTCCTGGCTTTTCTGGAGATGTTTAGCCTGGGTCTCCCAACACCCTGACCCCTATTGGTGTTCGGGAGACTCCTTTGGGGTTGGGGAAAGTAGAAGTGGCCTGTCTCAGAGACCTGCATGTGACATCCTGTTCCGTGGGGTGCGTGGGTCTCTCTGAGCCTGGAGCAGGGGCTTTGGCTGGACTCGGGGTAAACGTGGAGGATGGACACGGCAGGTGGAAGGAGCCGCAGGAGCCGGGGAGCGATGGCCGAGGAGAGAGCCCCAGCCCTGGGCACGGATGGAGGCTGCTCGGCAGAGGAGCGGCGTGACGCTCCGTGTGCAGACCCGGCAGAGCGTGGAGGCTGTGCGGGGTGGACAGCCTCTGACCTCTGAATTCCGCGTGGGGCGTCTCTGCCCAGAGACTGGGGCTCCTCCCCCATTAGGGTGTCTTCTGAGCCCAAA